AGTCTAACCAGATAATGAGGTGACGGATGTTTCGACCCTGTGACTTGGTGATCGTCTGCACGTACGCAGGAGTGAAGGGATAGCGAGTGATCTGCACGTCGTTGTCCATGTGCGTCACTTGATAGGCGAACACTCATCCCTCTGGGAGGGAGAGAATGATGGTATGATTCTCGCACCCCAGAATAGTTGCCTGTTATCCATTTATGACACGCGCTGCCTTGTCTTGATTCTCCGTGAAAATGACCTGCATTTGTTTGTGGGGAAAGATGGCATTGGTGTCGGCAACGGAAGCACAAGGGATGTTACTAATAGGCCGTCCCGGGAATAGATGGCGAATGATGATGTCGTTGATTCGCTGGGCAGCCTTCCTCAAGACAGTCATGATGGTAGAGTCGCTGTGCTGCCGATAAGCCTCCCAGATGTCTTCATCAGACAGTTGTCCTTTAGGGCACAGGACTATCCCTCTTTGCATCTCGTTGACCTGTTGCTGAATGGGAAGTAAGACGTGTATGAAATCGAGAAATTTTGCGTACTCTGCCACGGGAGCTGCTACGAGGACGGACATGTCAGTACGAATGGCGTGATCTATGGCTCGGGTAAGAACTTGTGATTTCGCAGTGCCCGGCTTTCCCAAGAGTACTCGAAATTTCTCCCAAGTGGCAGTGTTTTGAGTGAATGACTGATGGTGGTCGAGGGTGCATTTGCGTGCAGAAAGAGCAGCAGTAATGTCAGTGAATATGGCATTTTGAAGAGGCAATAGTGGGTAGAGCCTCTCCACAGATATGGAGGATGCATCTGTGATGTCTGCAGTGACGACCCCAATTGGCCAAAGATGCAAGATGCCATAAAGAGTGTACGTACGATACGACGGTGTTTATGAAATAGTCCTTGTGTCCGGCCTTTTCGAAAAATGCGGTGGTGGCGTCTGAAGTGTTCCAATATTGAGGAGTGAGAGCTGCGGACTGTGTGAAGTAAGCGACGGTTAATGGCATGGTTGATGCATCTGGATGGTGGAGATTTTGAACGTTGCGATGTGGATGATTCATGGTGAGATGCTGATAAAAGAAAATGGGGTTAAACATGGAGACGTATTTAACACCCACCAATACACGATTGTCCGCATATGGCTTTGGTTTGGACGTGGACGTCTGATGTCACCGGAGCCACTGGAGAAGGGATTGGTCATCTTCCGCGCGTGGACGTTGGAGGTACATGTTGTACACCTTGTGCGTTGCCGTTTGATTCGCAAATGGAGGTTGAAACAGAACGGTCATCTTGTCTGTCCAGCAGACTTTGATGTTAGAAAGTTGGAACACCATTTCCGGCTCAAGCGGTGTGACTGTTCGGAGGAACGAATGGGCTGCTTAGTACCCTGTAACATCCTTACAGTATAGGCCTTCCGACATTGGCGATTCGTGAATCTTGGTGACGTAGGAGCTCACGTATTTGAGTAACATGGCTTTGCCATCGGCCAATTACACGTCTTGTACAGCATTTCAGCGCCCCCAAAAGAGTAGTGATGTATGCCCGTATGTTGCGCTGGGTGTCGTCGTCCGTGTCTTGAAATTGGAGGATACTTCTTCCATTAGCATCTGTGATGAAGGCATCAGGTGCATTGTTAACCTGCAGACAGGACTTATCATATTTTTTGGCGTTGGCGACAAGGAACACATCATGTATGTTGTCCCATGGCACAGAGACGTTGCATCAGATCGGCACGAATAGAAGACACCTCCTCGAGCCAAACCAGCATGTGTAGGTGAACCGTGCTGCGTTGTTGAAATTGGATGTGATAGAAGAATGTTTTCACGTTCTTGGAAGGTGGCTGGTCACATTGCAGAGGACGTGCGTACGCCATCTGTTGGAATTACCACCAGTAAGGTACCCTCGAACAAGTTGTTCCAACACGTGCGCGATGTGAAGAGTTTCCAGAACAGGTACCTCCATGATCTCTTTCCCATAGGTATTCCTGATGTCTTCAATAAAGGGCGGTAATGGAAATGTCCACTCATACGGTGAAATTGTGATGAACAATGAAGGGAAGCCAAACTGATGGACCGCATCGATGAGGAATAAATTTTGATGTTGCCAAAAGGTTTTCGAGAAAGACCCATTTTCTAGACTACGGTTTGGAGAACAGCCGGAAGCCTTGGAGGCGTTAACGGCACCAGTGATTATTTTGAAAAGCCAGCAGTCGTACTGATATTGAAGGATGTCGAAGTTGATGGAGAAATCCACGACTGGGGACAAGAATTTATGCATGTAGCGTGAAGCTTCTTTCATCACCCCAATCGATTTCACGGCGTGAAAATTTTCACTCCTATATTCACGGCGTGAAAGTTTTCACTCTATCTTTCACGGCATGCAAGTTTCACGCCGACAGTGAAATTTTTTCACCAGAGAGTGAACACGGCGTGAAATTTTGAATTCACGCCGTGAAAAGTCCAATTCACGCACCGTGACCGTGAAAAAATTTCCCAGTTTTCGGTGAAATCCATAAGCCCCCTTTTCACGTGAAGGGTCACATATTTCAATCGACCCTCAATGGTGTGCATGGATCTGGTATACCAACAGCCAATTATAACCTATCCATGGACCCGGAAGGTAGTAAAATGACATCCTATATCGATCCCTCGATGGCATATGCAGCTATTACCCGTCACTGCAAGAGTGATAAGAGATGCGTACCCGGAAGGTAGCCCAGGGACCGTACCAGGCTGTCTTAGAATTAAGCGATAATAACACTAAGACATCGTTCCTTCGTTTGCGCTCCTTAAAGCTATCAAACAAAAAGAAAAGCACTCACCGACTTGAAATGTGACACGTTACGGGCAGTAAAACAACTGCAACAAAGTGGAAAAGACATTACTAAAAGAACATTGCTAAACATAAGAATCGACGGACCTGCAGGACGTGTTGAAAACACATGCAAGAGATCAACATAGTTGAAGGTCTCGGGCAGCAAAAGAAGCAAGCGTACAGAAACGAAGACGAATGAAAATCATTTACCTTGAAAAAGAAATCCAGAAGTGCCAAAAATAAGGAAAGCGGTTAAAATGGAGCGAAAAAAGTAACGCGAAACCAAAATCGCGACTGTTCCAAATATGGCGGGAAAGAAAAACACCAAAAACTGTTACTGTTTCAGAAATGGCGAGAAAAAATGGTGACTTTATAAAACTGATGTGTAACAAACGAGATATACTTACGTTGAAAACGAAAAAGACCAACGCTGCACAGTTTCTGTCGCACAGTTGAACTAAAGCGAAGACCAGGGAACAAAACAAAAAAACGTTGGTGTTTGAGAAAAAGCGCGAAAATACACGTGAGGTACAACAACAATTTCGAAGAAATATAGGTGAGATCCCAAAAGAAAAGAGGCTTACCTTGAAGCGAGGACTAAAAAAGGAGCAAGACACTCTGTAGTTCCAAACTACGACACGGGAGAGTTGTTCTGAAAAGAATAGTTGTATAAAATGCTTGAAGAAGTTGTTCTAATAGAACAGTTCGAAACCAACGATGTTGTTCTGAAAAGAACAGTTGTAGAGGAACGATGTTGTTCTGAAAAGAACATTTGAAAAACAAGACAAAACTTCTGAAGATTGAAAAACGGTATCCAAACGGACAGGGCTTCGCCGGGCGGAGAAGATTTGGAGTGCCGAAACTTGAAAAAAAACGGGGTTTATATTCACGTGTCTCATTAATATGCAGATCGAAACGCACCAATGTAAAACAAGCAGGAAAAAGACTGATATGTTTCCTCTGCGGTTCACAGTTTGTGTTTCTTTATGGAAAAGAAAAGCCTCTACCGTCTACAAGCTTCCCAAATCAAGATTTTTCACCTCAATATATCATCTTAAATGTAGTAAATAAATATTTAATGGAGGATTTTCAAATGACAACAAAAGTCTGGCATAAAAGTACAAAAATGATTATAAAAGCGCCGTTTATCAATCAGTCAATCAATCGACAGGAAAGAACCAACAGAGTCCTTTTAGCTGTTTGACGGAAATATCTCTGGTAAAGTTATCATTATTTGGTTTTGTCGAGAAAGCATCATTTGAAGCAGTTGTTGTTGTTGCATAAGCAGCAGCAAACCCTTCATGATGCTTTCGTTCTTCCTGTTGTTTTCTTTGTTCTAGCTCAAACCCTCTCTCTCTAATTGACGCCTCTCTCACTTTTTTCACGTAGATACTGTACGTTTTCCGAGCCAGATCGCCTCCTTTTTTGGTTCTACTTCAGAGCCATCATTCTTTCTTCTTTTCGTTTGAGACAGTTTTTCCATTGCCTTATTCCTTGCCTCCTCCACCTTTGCCTTGTCTAGTTCCTGCTTCTTTCCATCTGCATCCCCTATTTTAAAATAACTTATTTGTGGAATTATTTTTAAAGAAAAGTGATAATAATTTTACTTGCAAGTTGAGTTAAGTCAAGATGGCCTAACAGATACTGATAATGTGCTTTAGCTTTAAAAGTAAGAAGGTTGGGTTGAGTTTGATGGTTGTGATGGTGATTGTGATGAGAATGAACACAATAATGACTGATATAATGAAAGTGAGGAAATCCATTATATTACCAGTGGGAGCCAGTAAAGATAAAGTTGGTCATGGTGATGCAGACAGCAGGACTCAGGAGGACTTGTTTCTATACACAAGTACTGCATTTAACTAATGGTTCCAACTTAATTCACTTTGTCTTCTGTAATGTTACAAATCCTCGAGATTCAAAAGATTTGCCACCCCCCTTCTTGCCTACAGCACTTTTTTTAACATACCCCGTTTTCATTAAAACAGATCTCCTTAAATTTGCCTTTGCTCCCTGTGGTGTACATCATAAATGCAGCCTAAATAAACTAAGTCTACGTCATTACATGAAATTCGTCTTAATTATGGAGTAAACCTCCTTGGTTTCAAGTGATTTTACCCTCATTTTCTCGTCACTGTTCGTAACATTTCTCCTTTTCCACAACGTCCTCCAATAGTTTGTCAGGCTCTGAAATTTCAGGACTAGTTCCACTTCCTCTTCTCTCTGGCCATTCTTTTGTGTTTGGTGATAATCAACAACAGTCTGTCTTGGAAAGATCTTTTAGTGAGTGTTACTTTAAACTTTGGACGTCTCAAGGACACCAGCTCATCAGCTGTCTTCTGCCAAATTGCAGCTCGCTGAACGGTTTTCTTTTGGGCCAGGAAGGGATTCTGAAGCAGCACCTTCTTGCATAAAGCCATATCGTGGCTTTCAGTCCACTCGATGGGGGAATCTCTTTTTTGCAAAAAGCAAGGCAAATTAATTACTTTGAGCTGGAGCTCCATTCAAACTAACAGGATAAACATATACAAGTTAACCATTGAAATGTTGGACCACATATTTGCATGCACTATAATCACAGCTGGACAAAAAAAGATGTTTGTAACTTCTTTGAACTATGTAAGCAGAAGGCAGTGGTTGGCAAAAGAAGTGTATTTTTGCCGAGTGAAAGATGAAACAACCCGCACCAAAGTCCGAACAAGTTGTTCTTAGGAACTACATGTTTTGCTCCACAAAAATATACTCTTTTGGAGTAAAAAAGAATGTAGAAAATGTGACATGCAAGATAAGAATCCTCTACGGTACAGAAAAGAAAATTAAGGACACACTGTTTACTTACATAGCATGTTCTTCTTCATGTTCTTCAGCGGTAGAAACTGACTATATGATATGGACGATTTACACTTGGATGGATGTGACGACCCGAAGTTCAGATATGAGTGGTGTCTTTGTAATAAATAGACGTCAATTAGCGGTCATCACGGGGTGTCATATAAATGTCCAGGGACGGGAGTTTTTCAGATGAGATAGACCACGTAGGGACAAACTTAATATGGTACTTCGAAGCAAAATCAAGAAACTGCTGTAGGTCTTGTTCACTGCCCGAGGCTGCGCCCACTACGTCATCCATGTATCTCTTATACAAAGCAGGCTTCCTACTTCCTAACACAAAGAAGAAATATTTAAGCTGTAATAAATAAGCAAATACAAACAATTAAACAAAGAAGCAAGACAAAACAATGGCTGTGCACACACTGAGTATCGTACACAGCCATAATATTACGAAAAGAACGAGAAAAACATGACGAAAAGAGGCAAAAAATTAAGAGATTTTGACGCTAAATCAGAAACAAGTCCATCTTGCTCGCTCGCTCGCTCGCTGATATCAAAACGGTATGAGTCAAAGAGGAGCAAATAAATTGAAGGTCTGAGCCGGGATGTTTATTTGTCATTTGTGTTTTTTTGTTTTTTTTAACAATCGGGAATGTGGCTAAGCTGTGCCCACATAATGGTGACGAATAGCCAAACTCCGCTGAAAACCAAATGGCGAGCCATGTAGCAAGAATTGACATAAACGCCTGGTAAAAGAGTATGAAAGTGCATCGAGGGACAGCAACTCCACCGTTGCCCAATCGTCCGGGGTGAAACCAATGGCCTTTGCAAAAACTTAATGGATGGTGGCATGCTCTCTTCCTCTGCGTGATGCAATTGGTTGGGGCTTTGGTGAGGGTAGTGCATGGTAAGATGCTTGTAAAAGTGAATGGGATTGAAGATGGAAACGAACTTTACTCTTACCAGCACCTTGTTGTCGTCATACACTTTCGGTTTGGGGCCAGAGGTTCGGTCGCTTCTGAGCCATTGCAGGAGGGTGTTGTCGGCTTCAGCTACATTTGGTACACCTTGTTGCTGTCTGTTTGGTCGGGGAAAGGGGGACAAAACAAAACAGTCATTTTGTCTGTCCAGCAGACTTTTATGTTTGTTAATTGGAAGATCATCTCTGGTTCCAAAGGCTTCACTGTGCGCAGAAAAGAGTTGGCCTCCTGATACCCAGTGACATCAGTGCAGTACAGACCCTCTGAGCTGGCAGACTTGGGAATCTTGGTCACATACGAGCTCACATGTTTTAGAAGGAGGGCCTTGCCATCTGCTAATTGGACGTCAGTGCGGCACTGCAGGGACCCCAGGAGAGTGATTATGTAAGCCTGTATGTGCCTGTCTGCGTCGTCTTTTGTATGAAGAAATGGTATTCCCCAGAGTATCTGTAGTGAACGAGTCAAGATGGTGGTTCACTGGGAGGCAAGACTTGTCTGATTTCTGGGTAGAGGCGACCAAGAAGGCACCATCTGCATTGTTCCAAGGGACGGATGCATGGAGGACGTCGGCCCTTGTCGCAGAGATGTCTACCCACGCGAGCATATGAAGATGCAATGTTCCTCTTTGCTGGAACTCGAATCTATAGAAGTATGTCAAGATGTTTTTCTGGCTGGGTTGCTGGGAGTTTCCGATGTGCGTCTTCCAGCGGTTGCTGCTGCCACCAGTGAGATAACCCCGTGCTATCTGCTCTAAGATGTGAGCTATATGGATGGTCTCCAGCATTGGCAGGTCAGTGACGTCCTTTGCATAGTGGTCCCGAACATGTTCAATGAAGGGGGGAAATGGAAATGTCCATCCGTAACGACTGATTGTTACAAAGAACCATGGAAACCCAAACTGACGAACTGCATCGATGAGGCATAGATGCTGATGCTGCCAAAACGTGCGGGAAAAGAGTGTGTTCACTAGGCTCTGATTTGGAGAACAACCACCAGCCTTGCAGGAATTGACAGTGCCAGTGATGGGTTTGAAGAGCCATCTATCGTAGTTGTATTGCATCACGTCAAAGCTAAACGAATAGTCCACCATGCGTGATAACACTTAATTCAAGAAGGACAATTTGCTACTGGCGCAGTTGGCTTGGCCCTCCAAAATACTCTCACACATGTCTGTCCGATAGTAGAGGACGGGCCACCGGGCGCACTCGATCCCACGGTAATGTGGCGTCATGAAGATCTCGTACAAGAATGGCTTCAGGTGGTTGTTGGCCTGCATTCGTACAAATCGACTATAGCTGCTGTCGGAGTTGCTCATGACAAAGTAATAGACCTCCAACAATTTCTGCCTTCGGGAAGGATCATGTATCTCTTGGATTTACTCTTCTACCAAGGTCGCACACGAAGTGACTCGGATAGTACAGTGCGTTGTCTGTGGCCATTGAAGCGCCACAGTCACCGTTTTATATCTCAGATGGACCAAGGAGATGCTGGTCTTCACGGGTCAGACGTCGAAGAAGGAGTGGTACGTCTTCCACACTGGGAACACAGTACGTTCCGTTGCCACTTTGCAGATGGGATCTAGGTGCGAGGCTGGCTGTTTTTAGGGCAAAAGAGGGCTGCAACTTTCTCGGCTTTAGCTTGGAGCATTTGGAACAGTAGGCCCAACTCTGGAAACGAGCCCAGAAGGACTACAGGCCTAGTGCCCTGCCTGTTGACTTTCAACACTCAGTGATAATTATGCAACAGTACCGCTTACCAAGGTGCTATATGTACTAATACCGCAACAACACTCGTTAAAACCTAGCATAAAGACACCTCATTGCGAGGTGGACGTAGGTACAAGGCTTAAAAGTGTTTATTTCGCCAAGTAACTGTACCAAGAATATGTAATAGAAGCAGATTAACTACTGTCCATTTTCACTTACCAAGTTTGTGCATGAGACAATTGTTGCAGGAGGTGAACGTAACAAAACTGTATGGAACGTACCTAGAGAAGTAACAAGTTACATGTTAGTCAATGACTGTAAGAAGACAATGTGTAATCTAAATACATCACTTACTATTTATATTGTATAATTTTGCAGTAGGACATTAAAGACGGCGACCAGTCAGGGTGGGTTGGCCGTGGTGCAGTTACTACCTGGGGTGGACAGTAATAAGTCAGCCCTCTGTTTATCTTCCGCTTAGAGACGTGCTCTTGTAATTAAGTCATAGGGGGATCCACCTCCAGCAAAAAAGGCCTCCGTGGTTCTGGCTTTATTTTGAAAAACGTGGTCCTCCCTGCAGATGTTTCACAGCGGTAGAAACTGACTATGTGGTATGGACGATTTACACTTGGGTGGATGTGACGACCCGAAGTTCAGTTATTAACGGTGTCTTCTAATAAATAGACGTCGATATGAAGTCGTGATGGGGCGTGATATAAATGTCCAGGGAGGGAAGTTTTTCAGATGAGATAGACCACGTAGGGACAAACTTAGGATGGTACTTCGAAGCAAAATCAAGAAACTGCTGTAGGTCTTGTTCACTGCCCGAGGCTGCGCCCACTACGTCATCCATGTATCTCTTATACAAAGCAGGCTTAGGCCTTTCCCGATTGCGCTCGTAAAATCCTGAAAAAGTGCTGGCAAAAATGGCTAAAAAGTGCTCAAAATCTCAAAATAGTGCTCAAAAAGTGCTAAAAGTTGTGAACAGTCACCTCTAAGCTTTTAGTAAATATGTCAGTTTTTACTAAAGTAATTAACAATCTATTTTGCGTAATGTTATTCGGCAGGTTGTTACGAAATGTTGATAGAATATAGAACAATATTTTAAAAAACCTAAAGCCGGTTCCGAATTGTAAATAAATTCAGCAGTACTAGTGCAAAGCCTAGACATCCGATGATTTAGAAATTTGAGATGACACACGCATGATGCATCAGCCAATCAGAAACTTCTGTTCTCACGCTGAGTAAGGATAAGTCCACGTGCGTTTCCATGAGAACGGTCTTTTACTCTTAACAACGTCGTTAGTTATTCAAATTTATGACCTGGAACACGATTCTCGTTGCGAGCGACACACAGTTTCTGCTTTAAAATGTTTTAGAAGACATATGTTGCTCGTAATTTGCTCGAAATGTGAAATATTGCTCAAATGTTGCCCAAAGTGCGAAAAAGTGCTTAAGGGTGCTCAAAATGCAAAATAGTGCTCCAAACTCAAAAAAGTGCTCAAAAGTTGCTCAGCCCAATCGGGAAAGGCCTAGTTTAGACGAGTCGAATGATGCCAAAAGTAGAGTCATCTGCCTATCCTGTTGAAAGTTACGACCTATTCTACTTTTAGGAAGGTTTGAGTAAGAGCGTGTCTGTTGGGACCCGAAAGATGGTGAACTATGCCTGAATAGGGTGAAGCCAGAGGAAACTCTGGTGGAGGCTCGTAGCGATTCTGACGTGCAAATCGATCGTCAAATTTGGGTATAGGGGCGAAAGACTAATCGAACTGTCTAGTAGCTGGTTCCCTCCGAAGTTTCCCTCAGGATAGCTGGAACTCAGTGTACAGTTTTATCAGGTAAAGCGAATGATTAGAGGCATTAGGGTTAAAACAACCTTAACCTATTCTCAAACTTTAAATTGGTAAGATGTCCGACTTGCTTAATTGAAGCCGGACGACGAATGAGAGTGCCTAGTGGGCCATTTTTGGTAAGCAGAACTGGCGATGCGGGATGAACCGAACGCGAAGTTAAAGTGCCAAAGTCGACGCTCATCAGACCCCACAAAAGGTGTTGGTTGCTATAGACAGCAGGACGGTGGCCATGGAAGTTGGAACCCGCTAAGGAGTGTGTAACAACTCACCTGCCGAAGCAACTAGCCCTGAAAATGGATGGCGCTCAAGCGTCGCACTTATACTTCGCCGTCGGGGTGGGTGTCAGGCCCCGACGAGTAGGAGGGCGCAGTGGTCGTGACGCAGCCTTTGGCGCGAGCCTGGGTGAAACGGCCTCTGGTGCAGATCTTGGTGGTAGTAGCAAATATTCAAATGAGAACTTTGAAGACCGAAGTGGAGAAAGGTTCCATGTGAACAGCAGTTGGACATGGGTTAGTCGACCCTAAGAGATAGGGAAACTCCGTGTCAAAGTGCCCAATCTTGGGCCGTCTATCGAAAGGGAATCGGGTTAATATTCCCGAACCGGAACACGGATATTGCCACTCCTCGTGGGTGGCAAGTGCGGCAACGCAACCGAACGCGGAGACGCCGGCGGGGGCCCCGGAAAGAGTTCTCTTTTCTTTTTAACAGGCTTTCACCCTGAAATCGGATTGTCCGGAGATAGGGTTTAATGCCTGGTAAAGCACCACACTTCTTGTGGTGTCCGGTGCGTTCTCGACGGCCCTTGAAAATCCGCGGGAGACAATGATTTTCGTGTCCGGTCATACTCATAACCGCAGTAGGTCTCCGAGGTGAGCAGCCTCTGGTTGATAGAACAATGTAGGTAAGGGAAGTCGGGAAAATAGAACCGTGACTTCGGGAAAAAGAAATTCAACCAAGCGAGGGTAAAAGGCGGGAGTAACTATGACTCTCTCTGATGATCCACTTTTTCGGTACTTGCATCATGAAGGGCATTTTCAAGTCTGATCAACCTCGAAAGAGGGTTCGGACCCACTGTGTCAAGCTCTCACATTAAAATAGAGCGAATACGTGAAGGATGGTCTACCTCGACCAATCCTTGCCGTGCAAAATAACCAAATGCCTCGTCATCTTATTAGTGACGCGCATAAATGGATTAACGAGATTCCCACTGTCCCTATCAACTATCTAGCGAAACCGCAGCAAGGGGAACGAACTTTGCATAATCAGCAGGGAAAGAAGACCCTGTTGAGCTTGACTCTAGTCTGACCTTGTGAAAAGACATGGGAGGTGTAGAATAAGTGGGAGCAGCATTGCGCTGGTAAAATACCACTACTCTTATCGTTTTTTTACTTATTGGATGAAGTAGAAGCGGACCGCAGGGTCCACGTTCTGGACTTAACTCTTGTCTCCGGACGGGAGGATCCAAGCCCAAGACACCGACAGGTTGGGAGTTTGGCCGGGGCGGCACATCTGTCAAATGATAACGCATGTGTCCTAAGGTGAGCTCAGTGAGAACAGAAATCTGATGTAGAACAAAAAGGTAAAAGCTCACTTGATTTTGATTTTCAGTACGAATACAAACTGTGAAAGCATGGCCTATCGATCCTTTAGTCTTTAGGAGTTTTAAGCCAGAGGTGTCAGAAAAGTTACCACTGGGATAACCTGCACCTTGTTCGACCATAGTGGTGGAAAGGAACTCCCCACCCCTGAACCACCCGGCTAAAGAGCACCCACACGCTCTAACCCTTTATGGCTTGAGGCACCCAATCCTAGCGTTCATAGACTAGTTCCTTTTCGACCATTCGAACGCGCCTCTTCAACAACCTAACATTGCGAAGAAGAATTTTCCAGATTCTCTCTTAATTCAATCCTCGCCCCCCCAATCTATCTTCGGGAACGGGGAAATAGTTCTACAGTAATGGGAACCACACTGTGTTTGAAAGTGGAACAACTGCTTTAATAAGAGATTGCTAGAATGACATTATTTTCTTGGTCTGCAAGTATATAAATGGCGATACATCAGTTGGATAAACTGAAACGAAACGCTGAGTATTATCAGTGAAAATTATGTAGCTCAACTGGAGAAGGTCACTGGTGTGGGAACAGAAACGCAACGTACAACATAGCACAAATGAAGTGGCTTGTTTCTAAAGGTTCTAAAAGTACTGTTCAACGAGGTGAACTAAGAATGCAAGTTTCTAAACGGAACGAGGATACGGAACTGGGATGAGAGTGTTCACTTTGACTTGCGGGCCATCTTGTTTAAGTCCGCGTACAATTTGTCCTGCTCTTGAACAAGGTCTTCCAACCCGCCGCGCGGTTTCTTGGTCTTCTTCTTTTTCGTTGGTGGCTCAACCGTGGTTTCTGCCCGCTTGGGATTACGCGGCTGTTCTTTCAATGTGGTTGTTCCATCTGCGGTGTTCCGTTTGCTCGTAGAAGGCTCCGTAGTTTTGGTGGTCTTGGCTGCAGTGCCCTTGTTCCTGTGGCCCCTGTAGAAGGGGCTTTCAGGCGGTGTTCTGGGGGTGATCCCCAGCTGGTCGTCGTCCAGATCTGACTCACTCGACACGACTGTGGGCGGCCTCTTACGATGTTTTGGGTGTGCTGATTTGGGGTCTGCAGTTGTTTTCCGGATAGGCTGCTGGTCCTGGTCATCTGAATCCGATGATCTGGTCTCCTGAACGTCTCTGGTGCGTCTGTTCTTGGCGGTTGGTGGGCCTTCCAGAGGTCTCTTATTCTTCTGAGGAGGCCGTTGCTGTACTTCCTCCTCTTCGTCGTCGAACGTTGTGGGCAGTTTGACTGCTGCCCTGCGTTTGGCAGCTGTGCGCGCTCGTCTTTCCGGCAATGCGCGGGTGTATAATTGGGTGGCCTCGTCTTCGTCGTCGTGTTCTCTGACAGGGCTCAATGAGGGACGTTTTCTCGTCTGTTTGGGTACGCGTTTGCCTCGCGTGGTCTCTGGAGATGTTGGGGGCTTTGCTAAGTCCGGGAGACTGCAAAGACGTCTCCTTAATGTAGTGGAGGAGCCCGATGTTCCGGGAGTAGCGTCGTCCTCGTCGTGAGTGTCGAGACGTCGGCGTCGAGGCTGTTCCTTCTGCTTAGCTGGGCTGTCTGTTCCAGCGCTATACAAGGACCTGTCCCATAAGTTCTCAGTACTCCTCTGCACCGTTCGGCGCTTCTGCAAGATTGAATCAATCAGGTACTGATTCACGTTTTGTTTTGTGGGGTTCGTGCGCAACGCGTTTGTTGCGACGTTTTTCACAGACTGTTCGGCCAGTGCCTCCAGATTATGGAGAAGGCAATTGAAGGCGATGATGTGAATCGCCATCATGAGGACAGGCCCGCACGCGGTAAACGCTTCCATGAACAGGGCTTCTGTTTTCTCGTCTTTGTGGACGGCTTCGATTACATCCAGGATGTCGTCCTTGTCGGGGGCGTCATGACAATATCGATCTTTATTGTCAAGTCTCCTCAGGGCTGGCATAATTGGCGGGTAAAAGCCTTCTAGCTGGTTGACGAAGGACGTTGTGAAGACTGTGCCCTTGAAGCGCGAGATCTGGTCCCAGTTATCCTTCAGGGTGGACGCCATCTCAGACATGGCAATATTTGGCCTACTTAGCCATTCACAGTTCCAGTTTTTTAGCCTGGCTAGGATTTTGTCGTCAGGCGGGTTAGTCATCGGCGATGCTGTGAGGCGGGGTTGAGTGGTTGTACTAGTTGGCAGTGCGTTTGGCTTCACCCGTATGTGAAAGGATTGAAATGGTGGAGTTGACGGGTTACTGGGGACTCTCACCGCGACGAGGTAGCACTGTTCGAGAGTCGAGAGATGAAGAATGAGGAAAGAAAGACATAGGAGTAACGGCGTGGCTTCAGAAGAAGCTCCCTTACGGCACTCCCCAAGGGTTGGTTACCTCAGCTCATGTTCTCCGACGCAGGAGCTTCATCAGAAGGTATTGTTGCCGTTACGGTGGAAAAAAGACAGGCAAGATCGCCGAATATGAGGTGTGGTAATACTGGCAACAAGTGGAGTTGGGGACCGGTATAGTGTCGTCAAGAGAATCTAGTGGTATGCAATGGAAAAACGGTGATATTTTAAAGTTAGACAGGGGTTAGTTGGTGTGCGCGGATTGGTTGCAGCAAGGAAATACTGGATCTTGCTCGCACTCGGGAGAGGCCAACGTACCCTGTTCCAGGAGGGACTGTGTCGCAGTCTAGCCAGATGATGAGGTGACGTATGTTTCTGTCTTGTGACTTTGTGATTGTTTGTGCGTAGGCCGGCGAGAATGGATATCGTGTGGTGTGTGTGTCGTTGTGGAGGTGGGTCACTAGGTAGACAAATACGCGTTGTCCCTCCGGAAGAGAAAGAATGATAGTGTTATTCTCACAGCCGAGAATAGTGGCTTGTTGGCCGTTGACAATGCGGGCCGCTTTGTCCCTATTCTCGGTGAAGATCACTTCTATGTGTTTATGTGGGAAGATCGGGTTGGACTCCACTGCCGAGGCACAAGGTATGGTGTTGAGGGGGTGTCCCGGAAAGAGATGACGAACTATGATGTCATTGATTCGATGGGCTGCTTTCCTGGACACCGTTATTATGGTCGCGTCGCTGTGCTTCTGATAGGCGCACCAGATATCTTCGTCGGACAATTCTCCCTCAGGGCACAGGACTATTCCGGTTTGCATGGCATCCACCTGCTGCTGGCTAGGAACGATGAAGCGTATGCAATCGAGAAATTTCGCGTACTCTGGGTCGATGATGCGGAATTGCTGATACAGGGTGTGGATGACAGCGTTTAAGGATGTGAAGGTGTGGTCGTTGATGATGGAGGTGCTCGAGGTGGTGCGGCCGTCAATGGTTTCGAGAGGCTGTTGCTGACATTTATCTCCAGCTAGTACTACCACAGGGCGGGTGTTCATACGATTGAATATGCAGGCCATAGTCTCGAAGATGGCGGATGAGATCATGGAGGCCTCATCTACGATGACCAGGTCATATTTGTTCAGGGCGTAATTTATGTCATTAGGATGAGGGCCGTGGATGGGAATATTGAAGGCTCCGTGGAGCGTGTCAGTGTCGATGTCGTCCAAGAAGATGGCTTTGTAGCCCTGTGCCAGCAGGGCCACGGGAGCTGCAACGAGAACAGACATCTCACTACGAATGGCGTGATCGATGGCCCTGATCAGAACTTGCGATTTCCCAGTACCGGGCTTTCCCAAGAGCACGCGAAATTTCTCCCAAGTGGCAGAGTTGTGGGTAGCTGACTGATGGTGGTCGAGTTTGCTTTGGCGGGTGGACAGAGCGGCTGTGATGTCTGTGAAGATTGCGTTTTAATGCGGCGATAGTGGATAGAGTCTCTCAACAGATATGGAGGACGCATCGCTGATGTCTGCAGATACCACACCAATTCGCCAAAGATGGAGGATGTCGTAGAGGGAGTGGACGTATGACACGATGGTATTAGGGACTTTAAGATCTGGGACGCGACGACTTCTAGAACGCGGTGGCTGATAAAAGGACTGGAACTAGAACGCCGTCGTTTGCGCGAAAAGTAAAGTTAAGATCTCCGTCGGGATGCAGGACGACGCGGCTGCGAACCGCTCTTTATCAGTGTGATTCTTCGGCAATTCTTTCGCAGAAATAGCCATGGCATCATTTAAGAAAGTCCAAGAAATGCTTTGTTTGTGCTTTGTTCGATAGCATCACCTCCACTTCTTCGTTGACGCTTCGGTTTGTCATCGCTTTCATCCGCTGATGAACCTCTTTTCTTCGTCTCTGACAGCTTCTCCATCGCTTTTAGTCTAACATCTTCCGCTTTAGCCCGATCGTATTGATGTTTTTTGCTAGCTGTTCCCTGTGTTTCCTGTAATTCCGCTTCGCCACTTTCCTCCAACGTGATTATCATATCCAATAGGTTTTCTAGTTCCGTTGGCTCATCGGGAGTTATCCCAGTTACTTTTTCCTCCGCTAGAAGTTTCTTCTTATGCTTGTAAACAAGGATTCCCACGTGGTCTCGGACTGATCGTTTATCAACCCTGAATTTCGGCACAGTGCATTTGTTCAAGGTGTCTGCTATTTTTCCCCACATACTGCTTCTTTGTGTTGACCCTTTTTTAGTTGTGTAGGGATTTACACTGACGACTTCTCTGCATAGAATGGCTTCATGATCATGTGTCCAAAACATTACTGAACTAAAGGGAAGCATAAAAACACACGCAGTTTAATAAAATTAAATTAAATAATACAGGTTTAAAATTGTCTTTTAGCGGCAGATGAACGCAATAAATCGAGAATTGAAACGGTACAAGAGACGAGAAGAGTATGCAGAAGACTCCTACATTCACTATTTGCAGTTTTAGCTCGTGACTTACTTGCAAGCATTGCTCGAAGTCGAAAACGAAGGCACTGCCATTTTATAACCTTCGTACATCTGAAAGAAATTTAAAAATAATCAAAATCCTTCCATCTCTGCGATTTAAAATGTCGCCAGAAATTACGTCCAATGATCCTAGAAGGCGATTTTACATGTTTCGAGGAATATATCATCATTTAATTTAAGCACAGGAACAAATATACTCACGTTTTGTACAGAACGTCAAACTCGCAAAACCCACGTTCTCGACGCGACCTGGTGACACCAGGACAACGGCTTGAGCATGCGCAACATGTCTCCTCTTTGAAAATTTACTTCCTGTCGCGTCTTACAGCCGTCGCGTCTCGGATCTTAAAGTCCCTATTAATGAAATAGTCCTTGTGTCCCTCCTTTTCAAAGAATGCGGTAATGGCGTCAGACCGATAAGTCACGTGACTTTCATTCTATGACCTTCATGCTTCACAGAGTTGTAAACCATTGACCAAAGAACCAGTCTGCCAACTTTGATCTGTATGGACTCAAACGCAACAAAGATATAGACGTGAAACAACGCCAACTCCGAAAAAGACCAAAACAGGGAAAAAACCGCGTTTTCCACGGAAGCCCCCCCCCCGGATTTAACGGTTTCATGCCAAATTTGGAATACGGCCATTTCAGACGAAAAGCTAGCTGGAGTACGAAATCTCCAAACCGGCGGGTGAAATCCGGGGGGACTTCTCCCCTTGGCCTCATACTGCAATTTCGCTTTCTGAGATGCCGTTTTCAAACACATGTAGGTGACGTGTCTTTTGCGCTACGACATTGAAACGTCCGGCATCCATAGGACATCGAACGGTGTACACTTCCCGCAACTTTCAGCGTTTGGCGTCAAAACGCGTCGAAATACCAGACGTGAAACACGGCCATCTCAGACGTTTCCGTGTGTTTCAGAAAAGTTACCATATAATGACATTACAGATGTTTTAACAGGGGTTTGACTGAGATCTCTTAGTGAAACGTAGAAACTTACGGAGACTCGACTCCCGGTGCAGAGGGACCTGGCATGCAGTAGATGATAACCTGCACCTTGTTCGACCATAGTGTTGCAAAGGAACTCCCAACCCCTGAACCACCCGGCTAAAGAGCACCCACACGTTCTAACCCTTATGGGGATAAGGCACCCAATCCAAGCGTTCATAGGCTAGTTCCTTTTCGACCCTTGGAACGCGCCTCTTCAACAACCTAACATTGCGAAGAAGAATTTTCCAGATTCTCTCCTAGTTCAATCTTTGGCCCCCCAATTTACCTTGGGAAGGGGAAAATGTTGCTGCAGTAATGGAAACCACACAGACTTTGAAAGTGGAACAACTGGTTTAATCAAGGAACTCCTAGAGTTACATCATTTGTCTATAATGAAAGTCTAGACTTGAAAGATACGTTGTCGGCACTGGAACGAAATGCTGAGTTGCAAAATAAGTCTCTTTCTATATGACTCGTGCATAGGGTACCTTTCTTTTATGATCACCCTGTGAACTGACCTAGGTTAAGTAAAGCACGACACTAATGTGCGAACTGAAAGGAAACGTACGATGTAGCGGAACTCAACGGAAATGTTTAGCAAAGTATGAAAACTAGTCTTGTATGAGATCAAGTAACAATCATAGTTTGTAACAGTAAACAGGGAGCAGAAGGTCCCAAAAAGTGTTCACTTAGAATTGCGGGCAGTCTTGTTAAGCTCCGCATAGAGCTTATCTTGCTCGTCAGCTAGATCCGCAAGGGCTGTGCGGGCTTTCTTGTTCTTTTTCTTGGTTCTGTCTGAGGTCTGCGGTTGTTCAGCGTTCTTTGCATTGCTGGAGACGTGTTTGGTCTTGTCTTTGCGGTCAGTGGGTTTGGAAGTGCTAGTAGAAGGCGGTTTGTTCTTTTTGGTGGTTGCAGGTACAGTGCTGGTAGTGGCCCGCCCCCTGTAGAACGGGCTTTGTGGCGGTGTTCTGGGTGTGATACCCAGTTGGTCATCGTCTAGGTCAGAGTCGCTTGACACGACTGTTGGGGGTTTCTTCCTCGGTTTTTTGGCAGGTGGTTTTGGCTCCGTCTTGCGTTTTGGGGAAGGTTGCTGCTCCTCCTCGGACTCCGACTCTGTGCTGTGCTCGGCGTTTCGGGCGGCTTTGTTTTTAGCCGTGGGTGGCCCTACCAGAGGTGTCTTGCCTTTGTTTCTACGGTGTTGCTCTGCGTCTTCGTCGTCGTCTTCAAAAGTTGTTGGGAGATGTCTTGCTGCCGTTCGTCGTTCCAATGTCCGGGATCTTCGGTCTCCCAATGGACGGGCACACAACTG